TAGCGCGGTAGCTTCATTTTTGCCAATCAATATGTAGCCTATTTTAATTATCTTAATAAGAAAATGAACCAAGTGTCATGCAAAGTGTAGCTTTATCTTTAAGGAAAGGTAATTCTTTATGTGAGCATAGACAGTCAGCATCAGGTTTAAGTATCCCATAAGATATGGTCGTAGAGTTGGGGTTACGCGATACGTCTCATCTCCAGGGTTTCAAAAGTTTGTCCGTCCTTCAATCTATTCTGTACCGCGACGAATACTATACTCCACGAACATATATTTTCATATCAACGTCGGTCGCTTAGTGGTCATTCCTTGCCCACTTGTCTAGCTTTTCCTAGTCTAGTTCTCTTACGTCATAATGTCCGTGCTAATGTTATGATAAGCGTATAGTGGCAGAACAAAGAAAAAACTGTAAAGGTTTAAAGAAATAAATAATTGTATTAACACAAAATACAGCAAATGATAATTCGGTGTAGATGCCTTTTGTTGAAACAAAACCCAGATAAGTGGAGTTGTAAAAGACGTCCGCTGAGGTGTACAGAATAAGAGGGGGGATGACTTCTGATTTACTGAGGTGACGGGCTTTGGTGAGCTGTCTCTTGGTGATGGGAGGTCGCTTTCCGAACTTTACCCATAGGTGTGGGGCCACAGTCCTATGGGTAAAAGATACTCGTATTAGCTCCACCACGGAATATGTGATCGAGCGGCGCTATATAGAATCAACCGAGGCCCGTTCGTACAGTTGGTATGACGCTTGTTTAATAATGTAACTGTCCGGGTTTCAATTCTCTGTAGTGGATGCGCACTGCTGATGAGTCCCAAATATAGGACGAAACGACCTTCCCGTGCTTTCTGCATTCTGTTGATAAATTATTTAATTATAATATGTATTAATATTATGTTAATATTATATTACTTAATTATAATATATATATATATATATATATATATATATATCCTCTATTACTTGTATTCTTATTGATACATACCTGGCACAGGAATCCGTCCCTGACGTTAGTGGTATCACATTAGACCAGCGTGGACAAGCTATGAGCAGCTTGGAGCAGCGGCCCGAGTGGAAACACACGGATCCCCACGTTAAAAACTGGCCTTGTATCACAACCTGGCGGTTTTATTTTCCGAATTTGTTTCTTCTATGTGGTTTTCTTCAAAGTTTTATCTTTTTTCTCCTACAGCATTTGGTGCCACCAGAATGGGATTTCATAACATTTTGAATGCATAGCAGACACCAGGACAGGACTGTAGATTGCCTGGCTGAAAAATTGTGATAAAAAAAAGAAAACGATGAATATTACTCAATAAAAAATTACATCCACTGATTAACAAATGAATTGTACATTTTAGCTTCCCTTAACACTAAAATAAATAAATAAATCAGAAGATGAACAGGGCTGAATCTCTGGAGAATTCCTCTTACCATTTTCTTCAAAGATTGCATAAAAGCACCATGGATTTTCTGCCCATGTTGCAAATAAAATTATTTTTACTGAATCGGTTTTAAACCACTGGTTTCTGAAACCCACTCTCAAGAGGAATCTTTCTCGATAATTACAACTTATTCAAGTCTACAGTTAACTGTTATTTTCCCTACATATCCGCATAAAGTGTGCCTCTTACTCTGTAATACTCTATCTCGAGGGGCTCTCGGGCCTTGAACAAATCTGTGTTTAAACACTACCATTTTCTTGTTTTGCCGAATGAGTTTTCTTTTCAGCATTCTTTTATTTCTGTAACGAAAGTAAATATTTCAGCACATGTTTTATTTTAACTTTTTCCTGGTTCAACCTATCAGGGCACCTTAATTATGATTTACCAAGCAGAATTGACTCTGTCACAGAGTTTGTTTTTTGTATGTATGCATATATGTATGCGCGTGTGGCGGGGGAATTATTACCAAAATATAAGTCATCTATTTAGGAGTCAGTTTCTTTTCTTTTTCTCTTCATTTCAAGCAGTTCTTATGTGGTTTGACCCCCGCCTCTCACCTGATATCTTCTCATTTTTCCTGCAATCAGCAACATTTGTAAGTACTTACCACTCAAAATACCACAAAAACTTGCTTAAGTGTAAAAATAATTATGACTTAGTAAATCTTCAGGACAGTATCATGTTTTTCGAGACAATTGATGGTGAGTTTTATTTAGTGGCGCCCGCCTCCTCTTTAAACTACTCACATGAGAGATTGTATAGTGTTTCAACATAAATCCTTATTCATGTCTCATCACTAAGCTTAGATTGTTCAGAAAATAACACAAAAATCCATATCCAGAGATTACTAAAATGAAACATGTGCCATGTACCTTCAGGACATAGATGATCATGGCTCTCAAAAACTTTCTCACATTTGTATCTGTTAGTAGGTAGTCATTTTGCTATCTCTTTTGAGCCTTGTTCTGACAAAAGCTCATCAGGTTGGTTATTTTCTGCTTTTTCCAGTCCCTCTTGATTTCTGTGACCAAGTGATGAGATTGTTAACATCTCAACTGTTGTACCCTACAAGAACTCAAATTCTTTAACTCAACATCCTGTACTCATATAACAAAAAGAGACCTTAATTTTGTCCACCCTTCTGGAATACCATAAAAAATACCAGTGTCATAAAACATTTTTGTGACCAATCAGTAAAAGGTCCATGTGGTTTTCACAGAATTCTTTCTGGGCCAATGAATTACTTTTCAACCATAAAGGCAGAGCCGACCTGACTGGCATTAACAACAGATTCTCATATGACCTGAGAGATTGACACAACTGTGTTACCCCCAGTCCATCAGTAGAGTGACACCAAGGCGCACTCCTACCAACAGCAATGTTTTTGGCAAGTGACAGACAATAACTCTTAATTCCTACAATACAATAATTCATGTTGATATTTCTCCCACAAGTCTATCATTCCAAACTACATAAGCATGTTGATTGTCTCCACATGTCTTAATTGTGTTATACTCCAAACAAACACCATGTCTTGCGTTAGTGATATATGATACACCAGCACGAACACTCATTGAACCTTTTAAATGGCAGAAAATAATAAAAAAACAAACTTGTTTTTTTATTTCCACCACGTATAACTCCATTTGTTGCTTTGTCACTTCCACTTTATTTTCTAGTTAATGGTAAGGCAGTCGTTACACAAGTAAGAAACCTGAATTCAAATCTCGCTAAGGTTGATTTGTTCGGAAGGTGATGCCTTGTTAATTTTCAACCTAGGAAGATCATCCGGGCCTACTGTACTATTGGGAAGTGTGCCCAAAAAGAACATACCACAGGTTGATCCGAAACGTTAAAAGTGAAAGTGAGTTGCTGAAATGTTTCAAATGTTGTTGAAGATTTGGATTAAAATGAAGTCGCAATTCATCATGATCAAAGGTCAAGCATATTGAAATTGTTCAAATTATGCACTATTCAACTGAAGTCTGTTCAGTATTGTTTCATTATAAACAGAGTTTGGTGCTATGAGTGTTGGGAAAAAAAACACTAATGTGTTTAAGTAGGCCTCTACGACATGGATTAACTAATGAATTAAGTTACTATCGAATTCTTGAAAACTATGCTTTCCATGGTGGCTATATAGATGCATATTTCGCAGCAGTTCTGCTATTTGATGCTCATGCCTCGATAGAAGCTAGGATTCTGAATGGTGAGTTTCAAGTCTGCTATGCCATCTTATAATTTTTCACCAAAATCTGAAGGTGCACTGGAATATAAAAAGATGTCTTCCAAAAGTCAAGCAACGTATTAAAGAAGCAGGAAAAGCTCATTAGGAGCAAACAAAAGAGTCTTTAAATATTCTGTGATATGAATCATCCCCTATGGTACTGAATTCTGGACAATCTTATCACGGATGAAGAAGAGACTTGAGCCAACAGAAATTGGAAGAAAAAAGAAAGAACTAGAAATATCTGAAAAGGGTGAAATAAATCTCGTCCAGTGCCTTAAATTTTTAGTCCAAAGAAAAAAAAATGTACACTGCTCAATATGTTAAGTAGAGCAGAGATAAATGGAATAAATCCTAAAGAACCAGTAACACCTGGATCTGTAGGATTTATTCCATTTATATATATATGTATAAAATAGAATAAAATAAAATAAAAAATGATTGGTTCTAAATTTAAATCTTGTGAAGTTTATAACAAAATCTAGCATGATAAAAAATTGAAAATTAGAATTATCATCCATCCGTTACATGAGAGTATATGAGACTGCTTAACAAGGTTAAATAGATTTATCGAACATCTGGATTTGATGATGCAATTAATTAATAAACCAGATAAGTCACTTCAACTTTTCTTGCTTAATACAATGATATTTCTATTTTATAAATGTATTGATAATGAATGAATGAGAAATAAAATCACTGAAGATTAGAAAATACTAACTGTCAGAGGTTAGGAATTATTATGACTGTGATTCATAGAATAGAGGTTGTCGGTGATCATGGCTCTCTACAGCACATTGTCCCTTGGAGCTCTAAGAATAGAATCTTTGACTCTGTTTGTCCCCTCTCTGCCGTCCATTCGCCAAAATATATTAGGTAGGTTATTCACTGTTCACTCTCTGTCTCCATTTTCATCAGTGTGTCCAATGAGTGTTAAATTTGCTAAGCTTTCTCACCTGAAAATATGTCCCAGAAATTTCAACTGCTAATTCTAATTGGCATTTTCTTAAGAAATTTCCTCATTACTCAAATGGTCTGTCCATGTTATGCTCAACATCTATCTATAGGAACTTATCTCTGTCACTTTGAGTTGGTTCTTCATTTGTGTTTCAACCTAGAAAATGTTACTAAATGAGGAATAACTAAAACATCAGTTGGAAATGGTAATCTTTATAACATCAACAAAATACCATACTAGCCAGCGGCATGAAATAGGTAAACCATTGATAGTGGTGGACAACTTAGACAGCATATTACCCCCACTTACAATAGAGTCCAACGTATTTATGAGGATTGAGACATATCCATTTGTGTTCATAGTTACGGTATATAATAGATAGATAGATAGATAGATAGATAGATAGATAGATAGATAGATAGATAGATAGATAGACATATTGATGAAGATAGTGTTGTAACCTAGAATAGATTACTAAATGCGAAATAACCAAAACGGAGGTTGGAAATGAAACGCTAATCTTTATAACATCAACAAAATACCATGCTCGCCAGCGGCATGAAATAGGTAAACCACTGTTAGTGGTGGACTAATTAGACAGCATGTTACCCCCACTTACAATAGTGTCTAACGTATTTATGAGGATTGGGACATGTAAGGAAATCGTCCAGCATTCACAACCATGCAGCAGGATATATATATATATATATATATATATATATATATATATATAGGTAAATAAATTTCTAATGAATTTGGTATAAAAATGAAAATCAAGGAAGAAGGAATAGTCAATGGTAAAAAATTTAAGGTAAATTTTACTGACAGAATAGGTTATATAGGGAATCAATAAATTTTTCTGTACAAATTCCACACTTAATTGTTTCTATTAGAATTAAGATTCATTACTACTTTGCATGTTGAAGAAATATTGTTAAAGCTTTCATTTATATATAGTCTGTTCTTTTGAATTCATTTTTGTTGGACTTTTCAGGTAGACGTTAAAAGTGGTTATTATGTGATCACGAGCTTTTAATGAAAATGATGACATTGCAAGTAAATGTGCAATGTATAACCTGGTTCATAACGATCAAATCGGACATACAGATCTTGTGGAATTAAAGTACAAACTATGAAAAAAAAACAGCAATTTATGTTAGCATCTATGGCTGGCTCAAGAGGATTATGCAAACAGGAGGTGTCTTGCAGAAAATAAAAATTAAGCATCAACTAGATGCATTGTTTGCAACCAATAGATCCAATATGGAAGTGTTGTGATGTATTTAAATAAAAACTTCTTTTGGAATTTTTAGATTTCTATAGATAATTTATAGATAATCTGTATTTCATTTTTGAGTTATTTTCAATGTACTTTAACCAATTTGAATTAGTATTAGAAGTAGATTACTATAAACATTATTCAAGACACCAAAGTTTTTGTCAAGAAATATAAAATAATCAAAACCAGACATAAATATGGAAGCTTCTCAAATTACGAAGCTTCGTAAATCTGTAAAATCAAACTATGATAAGTGTGTATCAGTAAGGAAATAATTAGGTTTTAAAGGAAGACCATTGTCCCAGATTTAAATAGTTTCAATCTCATGCCACATAAGTGAATAATGAAAGATGATGAAATTTCCAGTTTCAATAAAACCATTTATTTCTGAACAATTTTGTAATCCACCGAGCAGCCACAGAGAGGTGCTCTCAAGAATTTGAGCGTCAGACATTCTAATGGCGGGCAGGGAAGGATCTCTGTGGTGATTAATAAAGAGCAGTATTATTTTTGAAGCATTAAAGTTCACCAGCCAATTCCTACCCAAGTTCACAACCGATTGGAGGTCCTTTTCGAGACGCACGACCAGGTTAGTTTTGTCAGTGACACTAGATTTGTTTTGGAGGCAGGAATAAATTGTGGTGTCATCCGCTTAGATGCCAACTTGGGAATTTATGGCGTCAGGAAAGTCAATTATGTAGATAAGGAATAGAGTGGGGCCTAGGATGGAGCCTTGAGGAACACCTGCGTTCGTGGGATAGGAACTGGAGGAGAATCCGTTGAGAACGACCTTCAATTTACGGTTTGACATGAATGATTGTATTAGGTCAAACAATCGACCCGTAATGCCATAACCCTGGAGATTTCGAAGAAGGCCAGCATGCCAAACCCTATCAAATGCTTTGGAGATGTCTAGTGCCATGGCACGAGCTTCCCCGTTATTTTGAAGAGCTTCGTAGACAGTTTCAGTGATGGCCGTAAGCACATCAGCTGTAGATCGGGCAAAGCGGAAACTATATTTCTTGTCTGAGACCAGATCATGAGATGTGAGGTGGTTAACCACTTCGGTATTGATTAGGGCTTTTAAGACTTTGCTGAAGAGGGGTAGGAGACTGATAGCACGGTAGTTGGAAGGGTCAGAGGGGTCACCAGAGTTATTGAAAACAGGATCAATCGAAGAGGACTTCCAGCAGACAGGAAAACAAGATTCCTTGAGGCAGTAGTTATATAGTTTAGAGAGGGCGGGCGCCAGTTCAGGCGCGCATTTCTTCAAGACAATGGCTGGTATCCCATCTCCACCACTAGCCTTTGAGATGGAACAAATACATTGAGTCAATTGCTTCGTCCACCACAAGGAAAGTTAGCTCCCTGTGGCGCACCAGGAAAGTTTTCTCCCCGGAATCAATCCTCCAGATCTACAAATCAACAATTCTTCCTTGCATAGAGTATTGCTGCCATATATGGTCTGGATCCCCTTCTGTTTGCCTGTGTTTTCTTGATAGGCTCCAGAGGCGGATATGCAATATAATTGGCCCTGCTCTGGCATCTCGTCTACAGTCACTTTCTCACAGACGCACTGTCGCCTCTCTCTGTCTGTTTTACAAATACTTTCATGGCAATTGCGCCGAGGAGCTGCTTTCGCTGGTTCCCAGACTTCTTGAGTTCAAGCACCCGACGAGGCTGGCATTCCGCTCTCACCCTTTCATTGTCGAAACTCCTAAATGTAGCCGTCTCTTCTATTCTAATAGCTTCATGCCTCACACCTCTCGCCTGTGGAACTCCCTTCCCTATTCCAGTTTCCCTGAGAGCTATAATCTCCAGCTATTCAAACGTAATGTCAATCGATATCTCCAGTTGCCTTGATCTATCCACTACCCTTCTCCTCATCCTTTCTTCTATCACTCCTATCTGATCTTGCTCCAAATTTTCTGTAACCCCTTGCGTCCTAGTGGCTTCTCGCTTTGCTTGGGGTGAAACGCTTGAAAAAAAAAAAGATTAGTTTTAGATTAGATTAGTATTAGAATTAGTATTACATTAGTATTAGATTGCTATAAATGTTATCCGAGATACCAGTGTTTTCTCAAGAAATAAAAAATTTTCAAAACCAGACATAAATATGAAAGCCTCTCAAATGTCGTAAGTCTGTAAAATCAAGCTATGATGATAAGTGTGTATCAGTAAGGAAATAATTAGCTTTTAAAGGAAGACCATTGTCCCAGATTTAAATAGTTACAATCTCATGCCACATAAGTGAATAATGAAAGATGATAAAATTTCCAGTTTCAATAAAACCATTTATTTCTGAACAATATTGTAATCCTGTAAGGCAGAATTGAAAAAAGAAATGTTTGGAAATTTTGTATTGTTTGGCCAGTATTCATTTACATAACAGAAATTCTATTTTGGTCACGTCTGTTCCTTATAGTTCTAAAGAATCTATCTCTACTTGGTAGAACAAGTGATAATTGTAGATATTCAAGTGATACAAGGTTATTAGAGGAAGATAAAAATGAAAAATATTGATTCAATTAGTCCAAGATTTGATGGGAAAAAACATCAATTGTTAAATTATTAATATATTTCTATACATTTTTATTAATATTCATTCTGTAAGACTATATAACTATAAACAAAACTATATGCAAAGCTATATAACTATACACAAACTATATACATTAAACTATATATATATATATATATATATATATATATATATATTATATAATATGTATATCCTATATACTTTAAGAAATATATCTATATATAAAACTATATAATTATATTCATTCTCCAAAACTATATAAAGATGATAAAGAAAGGGAACAAAACCAGAAATGATATACTTTAAATTATTAGTTAATATTTTTGTCATAAAATATTAATTACTTGTAAATGAATACAAATTCACATAAAATATACCAATTGATTTCCTTTTTGTAGGTGTCCTCCAAATTACATATTTTTGGGGTGAATGATGAAATCTGTTTGGCCTTGAAACATATTGCGTCATCCGTGATTGCATCAGATTTTTATATGTCCAAACACTATTGTCTCGACTGTTTATTAGTTGTCCTACGGCCATTGTCTGCGATGGATGTTACTAAAAAAAAACGTATGAAAATTGTAACACTGCATGAACACACTGGCAAGCCTTACCAGTGAGCAAGTCAAAGTACTAGAGATTGGCCCTGAAACACACCTGATTTAAGTCCAGTCAATCTGCAAGGAACAACTTTGTGGAATAGACATATGATATACTAACGTGTACACTGCATCATTATTTACACTATTCGGACTAGCGTCCACATCTTTGTCGCCATATTTATTATAACGTTTCGGCCATTGTACGTTCCGGCCTTCTTCATGTGGTTTGAATGTCGAACTGAACCCTTTATTTCGCTCACTGGGGTAGACTGTTCTAGTTCCACGTGCCATGTTTAATGGATGTCAATTATCAGTTATCTCCTTTTAATTTCCATCTGAAAGTTCTCCACTGCCTTAACCGGGTATTGAACTCACACTCTTTGGGTCCTGTCACTGGATCTAACCAACGCCTTTATCCACTGTACCATGTGTCATCTCAGAAATATAGACAGATACACTGCATCATGTTTCATTGGAAAAATATGAAAAATGTAAATAATAACAGAATTATTCATTTTGTTTCAATTAATTTGCACAAGCATATTAAGAGATGACAGAAAGGGCAACACAAAAATCCAAAAGTGCATAGTGAAAGGTACCTTTCTAAATTTAAGTAAAGTATTAAGAAAAAACTATATTGTTAAAGACAACGAAAAGAGAAGTGTTGTGTCATATAATATCAGTTCTTCTATGCTGGTGAGTGCTGGACAGTTTCCTCACAGATGAAGAAGAGACTTAAAGCAACAGAAATATAGTTCCACAGAAAGATACTGAGAATATGTGAGAAACAACAAAGTTCTAGAGACAATAGCAACAAAAAGGACACTTATACTTAACATCAGAAGGAGACAGTTGAGGTTTCTGGGAAACATAATGAGGAAAGAAGGCTTGAAAAACTTGATACTCACAGTAGAGACTGAAGGTAAAAGAGACAGAGGGAAGCAATGCCGACCCTACCTGGTGAGCGTGATTGGACGGTGGAGCAGGGTTTGGAGAAATGTTAAAAAGACAAATCATTAAGAGCTACCTATGTAGCTCTTAATAATTTGTCTTTTTAACATTACTGTAGTCAGGATCATTGAGTTAATGAGAAAGATTCTTTACCTAGCTGCATAGTATGCGCTTTGTCAGGCCAACATGCAGTTTTGATTTCCAAGTTTTCCTTCTTCTAGATTGGTTCCCACTCAAGGCTATAGAACCCAAAATGTCTTATTATTTACTCATAGCTGGGGATTCATACAATTTAACCATGTTGATATGATGATCTAACTTCTCTACATGGATATGAAGAGAGGTGACTTTAGCACTTTCCTTGATAATGACAAACTTTTCTTCATCGTTGAAGCCTTTTCCACATTCTATTAGAGTGGAGAAATTTTCCTAACATAGTTCACTGCAAAACTGGAATCTGAAATAAAGTTACAGAGAATAATGAACAACCTAAAAATGGTGTTGCCATATTGTGCAAACCAGCTGGAAAGAGCTTTATTAAAATCAGTTCACAGAAAAAAGAGAAATCATAAATTTCACTACCAAGCTATTAGCGTGGTTCAGGGTGTAGATATCAATATATATATATATTTTTTTTCTCTTTTTATATCTATATATCTATCCACTTCTGTCTGTTCATATCTATTTCCCTATTTGTTTTTGTCTGTTCATACCTATCTACCACTCTATCTCAATCTGTTCATTATCTATCTATCTATCTATCTATCTATCTATCTATCTATCTATCTCAATCTGTTCATATCTATCTATCTATCTATCTATCTTTGTCTGTTCATCTCTATCTACCAATATATCTCAGTCTGTTCATATCAAATATTTATATCTGTCTATTCATAACTATCTCTCTATCTATCCTTGTTCATATCTATCTATCTATCTATCTATCTATCTATCTATCTATCTATCTATCTATCTATCTCAGTCTGTTCATATCTATCTATCTATCTATCTATCTATCTATCTATCTATCTATCTATCTCTAACAATCAATAGATAGATAGAATAGAGATACTATTCTATCTATTGATTGTTCTATTTATATCATTTTGTTCATAACCCTCTCTCTCATTCTGTTCATAACTGTCAATCTCAGCCTGTTTATGTGCATCACACACACACACATACACACACACACATATATCCTCACACACACACATATACACACAGACACACACACACACACACACACATATATATATATATATATATATATATATATATATATATATATATTATTTGGTTGGATTGATGTGACTTTCTGACCATGGGATTCACGCTTTTGCGATCGTCAGACAAACTGATTAATTTTTAAAAAAATTTTGGGTTTATGTAGACTGCGTGTATTAGTGTTATTATGAGAGTGGGTGGGGAATCGTCGTCGTGATGTCATCGTGCTAACGCAAACATAGATGCATGTCCGTACATCAGATGAGGTACGCAGATACACATGCACACTTGCTCGTCCGTCGCGGCTCATACATATATAAACATATGTGGACAGTTTCGGATTTGACATATGTATGTATATGGGTGGTTTGTGTCTATACATACGCATTTGTATGTTGAAATTCAAAGATTGGAAGTGTAGTGAAGATTTCTCGTGAATGTATACATGTCAAAAATCAGAGCATTTTTCTATTTTTCGATATATACACTTTTCACACACACACACACACATATATATATATATATAATGTTTATGTTCTTTAATTATGAAAGAAGGCCTTTATAAAATTAATGCTTTGCTCTTTATTTAACTTTAACAGAAATGTTAATTTTTTGTTATTTACATTTTATTGACTGTGTGCAGATCATCATTATTTGCAAGAAAATATTTACTTGTTGAATATAAGATCCAAATATTTGCAGATGATGTAACTTCGTTACAACTTACAACTATTGTTGTTTTTGTTATATAATTAAAAGAAACAAATATGCACCAATTTTAATACGTTTAAATTATTCGAACATTCCAAGAATAAAACTCACAAAGTGATACAATGAGATGAACTCATGTTGCGCCAGAAAAATGTATTAATATTTTGAGTTAACGTAACTTTCTGTTTTCGCATACATCTCAGAATGTGCATTTCTATTTATCTAGCTAGCTAGCTAGCTTGCTATTTCAGTTTTGTTCATATTTATCTATCTCATAGTATACATATCTATCTATCTATCTATCTATCTATCTATCTATCTTACTGTTCATATCTATCTATCTATCTATTTATCTATCTATCTATCTATCTATCTATCTATCTATCTATCTCTGCTCATATACATATATCAACCGATCTTAATGTGTTAATATCTATCAAGCTAGCTATCTCAGTTTGTTCATATCTATCTATCTCAGTGTGTTCATATCTATATATCTATCTCAGTGTGTACATATCTATCTATCTATCTATCTATCTATCTATCTATCTATCTATCTATCTATCTATTTCAGAATATTCATATCTATCTATCTATCTATCTATCTATCTATCTATCTGTGCTTGTATCTATATAGCTATCTATCTATCTCTGCTCATATCCATATATCAACCTAACTTAGTCCGTTAATATCTATCTATCTATCTATCTATCTATCTATCTATCTATCTATCTTACTGTTCATATCTATCTATCTATCTATCTATCTATCTATCTATCTATCTAACTCTCTCTCTCTCTCTCAGTATCTATCTATCTATCTTACTGTTCATATCTATCTCTCTCTCTCAGTGTCTATCTATCTAGCTGTCTATCTATCTATCCATTTATATATCTATCTCAGTGTCTATCTATCTATCTATCTATCTATCTATCTATCTATCTATCTATCTATCTTATGTCCTTTTGTAGATACTGTGTGTAGATCAGTCTACCTTAAAGTCAAACGAGAGCCAGAGAAGCGTGCGAAGAAATATTCTCATGCAGCAACTTTGAAATTTCTAGTCTAGGAAAGTCGTCATCTCACTTTTTTCACACTGACTGCATGTATCAGCAAAAAACACACAACCATCTCAGCCATGAGGTAGCCTTCCGCCAGTTATAGATTTTCTTCTTCCTCTGATATTGATTATTTTTCTCATTTAAATTTTCAAATTTTCAGAAACACTGTGATCATTATAGATTTTACAAACACATGATACATCCTCCTCTCAATATTTGCATTATGAAAATCAAAGAAGAAATATCTGCTCTGATTAGATCTAATTATTCTTTGACTTTTTTTATTCAAAATATCTGCAACAACAAAAAAAACTCACTCTTCCAATTAATTAGAATTGGGAACTTAAAGAACAAATTAAATACATAAATCTTGAATCAAATGACCTCACATTGAAGGAAATTCAATTTTTTTCTGCTGATTCTCATGCTTGAGCAAGTTTTTCAGCTATAAATCAAACCCTATCCGCAAATAACTACTTTCACAGTCTATCGTTTTTTTAATGTTTGCAAAATGTGTCAGTCGTTCACATTTAAGTTAGTGCAGGATAGATTTATTCTTTAATTTCTTCATTTTAAACTCCATCTACATCTGCTTATGGTCTTCCTATTGTTGTTTTGATGTTATCGAAAAGAAATCTGTCTTTCCCACCAACTCCCTGCCTCTGCGCTTTACTTTCAACTTTGATTAACGGTAATATCTTTTTGTTCTTTTCAGGCTGTTTCAAACGGCTGTGTTTTATTGCTCACCCTTAGACACTTTTCTGCTACGAAAACACCTAGAGCCATTCATAACACTGGAAGCAGTTTTAAATTATCTGTGGCCTGTAGACTTTACCCAAAGGAAACTAACCAATACCATTCACGGTATGAAGTGTGTATAAAATAATCATAATAATATGTACAAATATTTGATACATGCTTTTTCTAGTGTGGTCTATCTCAATATAACCATTACACATGATGTTATTTTGACTTTTTTAAAAAAAAGCAAACCATTATGCTACTAAGACACAAGTCTTTACTGAATGTGGAAGAACAAGAGAAAAAGAAGCGAAACATTAGGGAGAAATTAAATGTTTAATCAAGACAGTAGATAGTGATTGACATTGCATTTAAATATTTGAAGATCAATGTTGGAACTGTAAAAAAAGTTCCACAAATGAGAGATACGAGAAAATGAAGTTGTTAGCATAGAACTTACAGTTACATCTCACCATTTGAAATTTGAATTGAGGAGACGTTGCTGACAATTTATTAATGTGCTTCAATTCATTGAATCTAGCTACCATAAATTGATTAGAGTTCATCAGAATAATTACCATCAAAGTATTTATAGAAAAGGAACACAGAAGCTACATTATGGTAGTGAGAAAATGACTGACGCCGCTATGCCAGGTCAAGACCAATAATATCACTGATTCTTCTTTGGATTTTTATCAAGAATCTCTAAATATACAGCAGAAGCATTGGGACATATGTGGCAGTAATATTCAAAGCAAGGATGGATGTTAGACTTTTAAAATATGCAAGATAGATTCTAGAAACTGAATTGAATTGCACCCTGCTAAAAAAGTAAGCCAAGCTATTAAATATAGAATCTAAGATACAATCCAAAAATACTTTTACAAACTTTAGGGGGTGGGTTCCTGACATTGAAACCGTCAACACGATGATAAACAGCAGCAAAGGTTGGATGACTCAGCTGCCTTCTGTTTGGAAATGCAATCTGATACTCCCGTGCCGCCTCCCCTCCCTTACCCTTTGTGGGGGAGTATGTAAAAATCATATCTGCCTGCACACAATATGATTAACCTGCCATTGTTAAATAGAACACTTCTCAGTCAACTCAGTACTACACACGTTAAACATTGAAGACAAACCGACCAGAAATGTACATGAATGACAAATGTAACCTAGTCTATATGGCAACACAGTGAACAGATTGAAATAGATAGCAAATAGATTGAAATAAATAGATAGGTAGTGAACAGATAGATAGATAGATAGATAGATAGATAGATGAATCAGAACTGGATAGAAACATACGACAGGAAAACTGTCCCAAGTACTTTTGACGGTATAGGGCATTATCAAAAGCTAAATCTTGACATTATCCTTGCCACGAGTTCACTTGACCCCAGTTTAGGGATTAACTATCTGTCCATCTCTCTCTCTCTCTCTCTCTCTCTCTCTCTCTCTCTCTCTCTCCAGCATTTGTTAAGTAAGGCTACATTTAAAATGTAAATGGATATGGTTTATGATGTAAAATGGTCTTAAGTAATTTAGCAATGGTAAATGAATATATTAACTATTATCTACTTATCATCAATATATATATAAAACGGCATCGCGTCTGGTAAAATATATTTTATTCCAGTTGTTTAGAGTATTTGGCATATTTCTTTACAATGAGACAAGTAGAGAATTCTGGCATTGTCCAATAATATTCATCTTATGTTAATTGTTTTATTTTGATTAGTTGCGATGTGACGATCTATATGCATACAAATTGTGTTAATTTTCTTTAAGTTAGAATTTAAACTATGAGAGATTTAATATAAGAGTTCATAAGTTTGTTTTTACATAGGAGAGGGGTATTTGAGGTTTCAAGGTAAGGTTTACGTTAATTTTTTTAAACATTTTATAATCTCTATCTATAAAAGGCAGGATGTGTGTGTATGTGTGTGTGTGTGTGTGTGTGTGTGTGTGTGTGTGTGTGTGTGTGTAACGAGTGCACGGCCGCAATTTTCGACGGATTTGCACCAAAATATACATGCACATGCCCCATGTTAGCGTGAAGACCAAGACCGACTTTGCATTTCCCAACTCCCATCGATAGTGGAAATAAGCGATTTTTTATGCTTTTACGGCAGTTTCCATGTAGTTTGTGGCCATTTTGTACTGGCCAGAGTTAGAGCCACGAATAGGCAGGAAGATTCTACCAGTCGGTAGATAAGGTCGAATTTACTGCTTATAAACTCCATTGGTTCTTTGTAGCTCAAGCGGTAAAGGCACGTCAGCGTATATGACGGTTCCGTATAGGATGCAGGTTCGAATCCTGTCAAAGAACGAAAATTTTCTATGAAAATTTCTCGGACATTCAGGCCGGTAAATGTTATTTAATACTGTTTATCATAAACAGAGCACTTGCTTAAATACTTGTATCTATAAAATAACAACGTTAAACATAAAAATATGTCTTTAATATATATATATATATATATATATAATGTCAATGGTAATATTATGCCTTTCTTTATAAGAAAACACACGAAATTCACTGATTGAGCAGAAATGCTAATTTCGTAAATCTTTCTATTAAAACAATTCTTAATGAAAATACGTTTTCATACGTAAGTTTAAAAACTAGTATTGCCATTTCCCATATTGAAGTTAGTTTCCTTCCCAACGTTTTGTGTGAAGTTGTGTGGAACGTCAAAACTATTTATTACATCATTATTTTCACGTCGATTTACAGGTGCTATCCATTTTAGTTGTTGCTGCTGTTGAAGGTCATCGTTTCTGTTATTTTATACAGCTCGTTCTGATTCTGGGTCTCCAGTCCACGGGGTTGGAATAAGTAGGTTCCTTTCTATGATTTACAAGTTTCATTCGCTCAAAGCCATTTTAAACCATTGACCTGAGAAAGCGGTTGTATACAGTTGACAGTTTAGATATATCTAAACGAATTTTATATTATCTATGACATCTGTATCAATGATTTTGACCTTGATTTTTTGGTATTTAAGATCATAAGTCGAATATTTATATCTACATACGAACCCATCCTAAAAAATCTTTCCGGCATTAAATAACCTATTAGGGTATTGATGTGCCGTAAAACAAAATAAGCCAAAACTAAACTAAAAACACGCACTATACTTGATTATATGCCGTACTCAACTTATTTTGAATTAAAACCAAAATTATTGGGCACCCAGTGAGGATCGAATTCATTCCCAGTAGTAATGATCACCAAGATCAGCTCTTTAAATTTTGCGCAACATCGACGTGCCTGACAACATAAATGTTTGGGTCACCTGAAGAATTGGTTTGGACCGAATTCAGTACGGACGTTTGTCCTTATTCATTGTAAGCAAAATCCTTTGGAAACTCTGTCTCCAAGCAACAGACTATTACGAAGGATATATAAAAAATATAGGCTTTGGATTAAATAATATTCTCGAAACATTGAATTACTACCTTTTACTTATGCATGTCTCCTTCACAATCGAGTCGTCAGGGAGATAAGGAAATATTATACAAGCAAGAACTCTGATATGAGTGAAAAATCTTCGAATCATTTGATATTCTTTGTTAAATGAATGAAAACATGTCTCTCTGCGAACTCCCGAAGAGCGCCGACGCCACAATTTAATTAAGTCCGTTCTTTCAATAGGCCGATATTGGGTCGGGCATTGTGCATACAATGATCGTCAAGCAGAAATTCTACACAATGCAAGCCACACTGCAAATAAATAGGAAGTTACAGGGACAAGGAAGAAGAAAATGAATAAAAAAAAAACCATGATAAAGAAGAAAAAAAAGGAACAGATGAATGAGAAATATGAGAAGGATAAAAGAAGAAAAGACAAAAGAAGAAATGGAGAGGAAAATACAAGGATGAAAAAAGAAGAGAAGACGGAAAAGAAAAAAAGATTGCGTGGAGTTAGATCAAGAAGAGAAAGGCGGAGAAGATAAAATAAAATGCAGAAGAAATAGAGAGAGAGAAGAAAAGACAAAGTATAAAAGTGGGAGCCGGAAAGAGAGGAATCGAAAAAAAGAGGAGGAAAAGACAGAAAAAAGGAAAGAGGAACAGAGAGGAAGGAAAAGGTGGGAAATGAAGGGGAGGAGGAAATGATAAAATGGAGGAACAATAGGGAAAGAGGAAGAAAAGAGAAGAAGGGAGGCAAATAAGAAGTTAGATGAAGAGAGCAAAATATGGAAAAAGCAAAGCATCTTGGGTTAGGGGGTGAAGAAGAAGAAGAAGAAGAAGAAGAAGAAGAAGAAGAAAAAGAAGAAAAGAAGAAGAAGAAGAAGAAGAAGAAGAAGAAGAAGAAGATGGGCCGTAAGAGAGAGAAATAGACAGAAAGAGAAAGAGAGACAAAGACAAAGAAAAGACGGAAGAGATTGAGAGAGAGAAAGAGAGAGAGAAAGGTAAATAGGAAGAGAAGAAGAAAGAAAGACACATAGGAAGATAATAAGGAAAAAGAATGGACAGAAAAGATAGAGAGATAAAGAAAATTAGAAAGAGAACGATAATAATATTACGAAACGGAAGAGAAAGAGAGAGAGAGAGAGAGAGAGAGAGAGAGAGAGAGGGTAAATAGGAAGAGAAGAAGAAGAAGATAAGCGAAAAGAGGAAAGACTGAAAAAGAGGAGAAAATGGAAGAAAGTTAAGAACAACGAATGATTGAAAGAAGAGATGAAAGTGAGATGAAAAAAGAAAAAGAAGGAGAAAGATGAATCGGGAAAATAAAATGGAAAAAAGCAGAAAGAAGGAGAACAAGAGGAAGAGAAAGATTAAAAAGATAAATCACGAAGAAAAAGACAGACGAAGGGCGATGCGACAGGACAAATAATGCGAAGAGAGTATGCCAAACGAAAAAAAAAAAGAAGTGAAAGGGAAATATGAAGAAAAAATGTTTGATAACAAAAGACGATTTAAAGGACAATAAAGAAGAAACCAAACCCATGGCCAAATTGACAAGAGTATGGAAGAGTAAAATCAGCTTTTAAACAAAGTATAAACTGTACAAATCGCTGGTAGTCTCCATTCTCCTAGATGGATGTGAAACGTGGACACTGTTCGCAGATACAGAGAGAAGGATCCAAGCGTTTGAGAACAAATGCATAAGAAAACTGCTTCGCATTTTCTATTGGGACCAAAAACCCAGTGAGTTTGTGCGGAAAAGGGTTGAATGTTTTGTGGGACACCGGGAACCTCTTCTCGCTACTGTCAAACGGAGAAAAATAGCGTGATTTGGACATATTAAAAGGCACGACAGGCTGTGCAAGACCATCATGCAAGACACCGTTGAAGTTGAATGTAGGAGAGGGCACCAATGCAAAAACTGGTTGGACAATATCAAAAAAATAGACAGGTACGACTGTATCAGATGACTGCCGTTAATAGACCGTTGTGGGGAAAGAGTAAGTGTAGCTTCTGCATTCGGAACCGGCCTACGATTACAAAAGTCAAGGGAATGATGATGATGATGATGATAATGATGAAGAAAAAAGTTTAAAAAATAAATAAACTAGACACTAAAATTATGAATTTGTAAGAAAGAAATAGGGAAAAGATAAAAGTTGAAAGGCAGAAGAAAAATAAAAAAAAAAAATTTAAGGACGGAGGAGATCATGTCTCTTCACAGTTTCCCTTCCTTTATTATCTGTGAATAAACCCTCGATATTTTGAACAGGAGTAGAGGTTTATCCCTTGTTTCCAGTTCCTTCTGAAGTCTTTTCCCCCTCTTCCACTTCCGATCGTCCTTTGCGTCTTGATAGCATTACCTTCCTGCTTACGGTGGTTCCTCTTAGTTTATGACTGTCGATCTCGAGTGATGCTTGGGCCATGTGTAGATAGGGGAGTGGTTTCCTATTGCCTTCTTTACAGTTTTGAATCCAGAGTTTCCATTCTACTAGACTTGCTGCCATCCAACTTTAAAGAGACCAGTCTGGTTTCCTATTTAATCGATATCCGGGGGTGAACAAATGAATTCTTGCCTTTTCCAAGCGTATTAGTGCGAAAGTGAATGCCCCATACCTCCTTTTTTATGCCTTGCTCTGCACAGAACCCATTTCTTTATTCTGAAAGTGATAACGAGCTCATTTCCTTCTCCACAGTTTTGACTTCAAAGCTGTCTTTCTCCTACACTGGCTGCCACACAAGGCTAGATAGCGCAATCGACCTGCGATGCTATATAACTTGATGTAAAGAATATGCATACACCTGGGTTCCCCCCTCACAGTAATATGATTGGCTGGTGTCAGTCATACATTCAGACTGATGTGGAGGTACAAGATGACGCCTGTTGCCAACCCTTATTGCCTACGCCTATTGCCTACCACTATTACGGTTATTTGCTAGTTTGTTCTACTCGGTTACAGTAGTTCAAAACCACTTTGCTACTTCGAACAAATATATCCCTTTCCGGGACATATTATAACTCATCATCATTCCCTTCATATCGAGTTGATAAGAAAGAAGTTCCACACAGATATCTTCTCTCCCAGTTTACTGTGTGGAACAAACTCCCAAGAAGATGCTTCCAGCCCGCAATTACTGCAATCATATCCTCTGCTAGTCTCGAGTCAACCATTATCTATCCTACATATCCTCATAATGTGCACATCTTAGCTTCATTCTCTATCCCTTTACAACAACCACATTTACTAGAGCTCTACCTTAAGTGGCTCTCGTTGCTTGTATAAAAATGATGAAAAATGTTGGGTGGGGAAAAGAATTGTCTTCATTCTTTTCCCAAGAGCTTTATTGAGAAAGTGAACGCAATAAAATAAAATAAAATAATCTGGAATTTGAACTTAGGCCGCCGATAGCCGTTATTCTACCTAAACATTCACTTGAACAAAATTAATAAAAGAAGCAGAAAAGATGAAAAAAGAAAAAGAATTAAAGGGATATAAATGGAGAAAGAAAGAAAAACGAATGATGAGAGTAAAGAAGAAGTGAGAGAAAAGAGAAAAAAGAGAAAGTTAAAAAAAAGGGGGAATGCACGGCAAGAAGGAATAAAAAGAAAGAATAAAAATGAATGAAAAACAAAGAAAGAAAAAAGTGAAAAATGGAAGGAAAACGAAAGAATCAAGAAAGTATTAAGAAAAATTAGGTAACTGAAAGGGAAGAAAAAAAGAAATGAAAAAGGAATAAAAGAAAAGAAAAAAAGTAGAGAAAAGAATGAAATGAAATCAATGAGAAGGAAAACAAATTAGAAACTATAAAAGAAAGAAAAGCAAAAACAGAAATAATGAGAAGAAAAATAAAAAAAATAGAAAGGAAGTATAAAAAATTCTGAAAGAAAAACACCAGAAAAAAACCCCCCAAAAAAAACAACGAAAACAAACAGAAAGAAAAAAAAAGAACAAAAAATACAGGAATAATTAAAGTCGGATAAAGAGACCAAAGTTGGATAAAAAAGAAGAAGAAAGTAAATGAAAAGAAAGGCGAATAAAATAAAAGAGTGAAAAGCAAAAATTTAAAGAAAGAGGACAGAACCAACAACAAAATGAACGGAGTAAGTAAAAGAAAGAAAGTGATAAAATGAGATAGGCGGGAAAAGGACGAAAAGAAGAAAAAAAAGTACGTAACATAAAAGAAAAAAAAAACACGAATGAAAGACAAAGAAGAAAATACAATTGTTAAAATCGAAACGGTGAAGAAAGAAAAAAAGAGGCAAACGAAAAAGAGAACGACAAAGAAACAACAAGAAAGGAAAAATCAGAAAGAATTCACATTGAATCAAGAAGAGAGACACAAAAAGGTTACTCATTTGTCGCCTTGCAGACATCCTGTCCCACACTTTAATCCTTGCTTGAATGCCTATCTTAAGAACTGGCGCGGCCTGCAGAGGTTTTCATTGTTAAGTACCATAACGAAAAAAAAAAAAATATTAAAAAAAAAAAAATGACGATTTGTTGTAAAGGACAGAAACACCATTGCAACCAGGTTTTGATGAGTATGTAACTATGCCGAAGCATTATCACCCTGCAAGCATCTGTAGCTGTTACATTTACTGAAAGATTCTGCAAATCTTCCCGCCTATAAATTTGACGTGGTACCAAGCTAAAAAGATGCGGCACAAAGGAAGCCATTTACAGGGAGATGTGCTCAGAATTCATCGATATCAGATGAAAACATAAACAAACATTGTCATGACACACGCACACACACAGATTTACATATGTACAACTAATGTAGGTACCTCCATGAGATCGCTAAAAAAAGAGCATAGCATAATGGAAAAGACGCCAAACTTGATGAAAACAAAATTTTATCGTCTAAATGTTTGTTATTATTAAAAGGAAAGATCAAAGTTTATTCTAATTATTTAAAAAAAATTTTCCTTCTTTTTAGAACATTTTGAATTTTGATTTAAAAGTCCTTGTTCCTCTTTGAATCACCGGAACTAGTAAAATAACATATACAATTTTTAGCACGTTTTTTTTGTAAGAAAAGTTGCCGTGCTGATCTTGCTCCATGCCTTACTTCTTGTCTATCTCACACTGTGAATTTTTCTATGCTCTATACGAAACATTAAATCTGTTACGAAAAAAGAACTAAACAAAATGAACACAAAACGATCAGCTTTAAAAAAGAACTCGTAACTGGAAAAACCGAATAACAAAAGAATGTTAACAACAAATACTTTTTCACACCCAACACAGTTCTGCGGAATCAGAATCAACGTTGAGTTTAAGCAAGCGAATGAGCCAATTGGAGTAAAGTGCCATGCAGATTTAAATTTTTCCCACTTGTGACGAATGCAGCTATCGATTTTGTATGCTAGCATGCTAAGTTAACATTCGTGTCAGTCAGCAGTTGGCTCTCACGCTGGCCAATAGAATCTTCCTGCCTATTCGTGACAGTCAGCTATTGGCTCTCACTCAGGCCAGTACAAAATGGCCGCGAACTACATGAAAACTGCCGTAGAAGCATGAAATTATCGATTATTTCCTATCGATGGGAGTTGAGAAATGCAAAGTCGGTCTTGGCCTTGCCGCTAACTTGGAGCATGTTGTGCATGTAAATTTTGGTGGAAATCCGTCGAAAACTGCGGCCGTGTATTCGTTACACACACACACACACACACACACACAAACATCCTGCCTTTCATATATATATATATATATATATATATATATTCAGGTAGGCAAATCAAATAACTAGATAATGGCAACCGTATATACGTGCTCGAACGTGCATACACAGGTCAGCGAATAAATATTTACTCAATTTAATTTATGGTTAAACAAAACGGTGCTCATTGGGGTTAGACAGAGCGAAGAAGTATATATTAATAAACTAGCAGTAGAGCCCGGCATTGCCCGGGGATGTAACAGTAAGAAATAGATCAAGCATCGACCATCATAAAGACTGAAAAATAAAATTGACAAAGATTATTCTTTAAGGTTGATGGACACGCATGTCTTAATTAGTTTTTTTTTTTTTTTTACGAATTGGTCAAACCCAAACTCAAACAAAAACATTGTTTTCAATCGTTATGAGTCTACCGATTGAATAGAATTTTATTATAAACAATTGTCTTGTAAATGGAATTTTTAAAGCATTCTGAATGTAAAAATAAAGAAAAAGTGTGCAAGACAATAAGAAACACTACCCCCAAAAATGAAGTTTTGCTGAAATCGGTTGAAAAATGTAGGAAATCCGATCCCATATATAAACGAACACACACACACACACACACACACACACACACAACCTGGGTTTTATAATAAGTATAACTCGATATGAGTTGTCCCCCTTTCATTCTCGCGATGCCTCTTAATCGTGTTTTCAAATTGATTTCGTGCAAAAATAACTGTGTTTTTCCAATTTTTGGCGCTATTAGAACCACCGCAAGGTAATTTTACGTAGTCCTGTGAAGTTTTGTTGAAATTGGTTGAAAAATGTAGGAAATCCGATCCAATATATAAGCGTACAGACACACACACACAC